GCCTCTGTGTGGACACTGTTAAAACAAAAATCATGTTAAGCCAATAATAGAAACTGATTGAAGTTTATTTAATATATGATTTGCAAATTGAGGTAACATTTCAACTAGAGAGTCAGAAATGTTCTGACAATAAGAAGAACTTCCAAAATTCTTATACAACATCTTATCAGCATTTCCATGGAAAAGGGTCCGGAACAGAACTGGTAAATAATTTGTGGCCAGGAAGAATTTCATACAGCATTGTCTTGAACAACAATTAAAATAATTACTGATTTACCCTAAAACATAGCTCCTAGTCTGAGCTTTGGCATCTCTGGTTTTCCAAAACTCACTGAATTCTTCAAAAGCACCATGCCCAAGGCAAAACAGTCTTACTAGTTTAACTAGACCATTGTTTGACTCAAAAATGACTTCTAGAAAACCAGTTTCTTCAAGGCTCAAGGTTCCAAAGGACACGTAAGGACAAATGGACTGGGTGCGTCACCCCAACTCCATGCACCCAGATATCTGGATTCCAGGTTTCTCTACAGGAACCTCCAACCTTTCAGTTAGCAGCTGAGCACCTTAACCTTTTGCACCACCCAGGGATTCTGGTGTCATGATAGTGCTGTGTAATAAACCACCACATACCGTCAGTGACCTACAACAGTACGTGTTTATTTGCCACACACCTGGTTGCCCACTGGTGGTTGGCTAGAGAACTCTTCTCATCTCCTGCTTGGTTTGCCCACATGGCTGGACCACCAGCTGTCTTTTAGCTAATCTACAAGCTTCCTCTCGGGTAACTATGCTGACTGAACTCTACTCCACATGTCTTTTATTCTCCTCCTGGACCAACAGACAAGGCCAGACATATTTGTCTCATGGCAGCAGCAGAAGCCAAGAGAGGGAAGGTCCAGCTGGGCAAGTGCTTCTCAAGCCACTACTTGCTCATGTTTGCTTAAGTCCCATTGACCAGTGCAAGGCATGTTTCTGATCCAGAGCCAGGAGGAAAGCCCTGCAAAGGTCCATGGCAAAGACTGGACAGGACAGAGTGAAGAATTGGGCCAGTTTTGCAATCTACCATAGTCTTGTTGACATGTCCCCATTAGTTGTTGAATACTTCCTTGCTTTCCGGCCAATAACATAGTCCAGACCCATACTATATTTGCTGTGCCTCAGACCTGGAATGACTCATTTTTTCAAGGATCCATGGTTCTTTTTAGTGAGGATGGTATTTAGAAACCAAAATCTGGGTATCTAGAATAATCATGCTTCTAGTCCCTTTCTATGGACAAAGCTAGCAACTATATATTAAAAAACTACAAGCTCCTATTGATGTCTCTAATATAAATTTAACATTACAGGGATTTAACTTTTAACTTCTATGATTTGAAATGTGGATCTCTTTTATATACAAAATCTTAATTCCTCATAACAATAACAGAATCATTTATTTGAGTAGAACCATGTCTGATAGATGTTTTGAGCAGTGCTCTGATTAACACGGAAGTTTACGACAGTCAGCACTCAGTAACTACTGTGTCTGTAAGTTCCTTTAAGTCAGGGAACATGTCTAATTCTTAGTGTCTAGATCAAATGTCTAACAGAGTATCCCGCACATGTATTTTTGAATTCATGGAATGCCTGTTGGCTGATTTTCTTTCTTTGAGTTTTGCTCTTAATGCCCATCATTTCCCTCCCTGGGGACTCCCACCTTTTCTAAGTGCATTCTCATGGAAATGAGTTGCTTATCTACTTTAAGCAGAATGCACATAATTTCTTTAATATTCCCTCACTATCTCTTATTTGCACTTATGTTTCCCTGGTGTGTTGGAGGACTGTGTGCTGTTCTCACAATTCCATAATTTCAAATGAAAGGAACTAGTTATCATGTTGAGTACTTATTTCTTTGGAAATATTATGAGTTTCAACACAACCAAAAAAGAGAAGTTACTTTGACATTCCCTTGACACACTTCTACTTGTTACTCGTCGATACTGATGGTGATTATAGGAACTCTGGACGCGCATAACCCCGTATTCTTTTTTAAGGTACTGTGGCATTTGGAATATTCGAGAAATGTTTTTAAACTATTTAAATATCTCTTTTTCACAATTGTCACTTTCATTGTCTCTAAGAGGGTATACATATAATTAGGAAGAGAAATCTAAAGGCCTGCTGCCCACTTTTTGAGGAGATGTTTTGGTTTTCTCTTTAATAACTATGGCCTTCAAAGGAGGATTTTTCCAGAATAAAAATAGATTATGGGGTAAACTAAGACACTCTTTGGGAACAAAATATACTCATTTATTATAACCTTCTATATAAAACCTGTTGCCGTCGAGTCGATTCCAACTGATAGCAACCCTGTTGGATAGAGTAGAATTGCCCCACAGGGTTTCCAAGGAGCGGCTTGTAGATTTGAACTGCCGACCTTTTGGTTAGTAGCCAAATGCTTAACCACAGCACCACCAGGTCTCCAACCTTCTATATACCAAAAAAACCCATTGCCGTTGTGTCAATTCCAACTCATGGCGACCCTCTAGGACAGAGTAGAATTGCCCCATAGGGTTTCCAAAGAACAGCTGATGGATTGGAACTGCTGACCTTTTGGTTAGCAGCTGAGCTCTTAACCGCTGTGCCAACCAGGGCTCCAACCTTGTATATAGTGCTGTCAGTTGAACTTGCTGTATAGTTCTATATCTTCATTGTCCAATAGATTACCCATTAGCCATGTGTGGCTATTGAACACTTGAAATGTGCTGGTACAACTGAGAAACTAAATTTTTTTTAAATTTAATTTTAATTTAAATAGGCATATGTAGCTAGTGGTTACGTGTTGGCACCACAGTTCTAGTTTATAAACATGATCCAACTGAAAAAAATTTGGCATTTGGCTTGTTTCCTAAAATAAGGTTATAATTCCTAATGTCACCTTTCTAGCCATCATCATCTCTTCCTGTAACACGCCATACAAAAGATACTATTTGGAAGCCAAATGGAAAATCACTTACCACCAGAAGCAATGTATCTAAATCTGGATTAAAGACTCTTATTGTCCCCTGCAAGTTCCCACCCCCGGCTCCTAATTCCAGAGGGAAAGATCCCATAATTTATAAATTTATGGTCTGGTGGTTCCTGGAGAAAAATCGTGAAAGCACAACCACTAACTAAAATATCAGATTATTTCTACAGACACGACTGACCAAAAAAGCCCAACCAAGGATAAAATGAAGGAATGACGCACCATAACTTTATTCTTATTATAGCTACATGGGTTTTCTTCTGTTGTTGTTGTTTTTTAACTATTTGAACTTTAAATCAATTTTAACTTTTTTTAATTATAAAAGACTTAAATTTAGACAAAATTAGCAAGAATAGTACATAAACCTCCATGTGTCCATAACCCGATTTCAGCAATTATTGTCTAAAGGCCAGTATTATTTCATCTACCCCCCTTTTGCCTTTCTCATTTCATTCAGAAGCAAATCCCAGGTGTCATCTCACTTATCCCTTGGTATTTCTCTAGGTACATCTCTAAGAGACAAAACTTGCTAAATAGAAAAGCATAATCACTAACCTCGTACACACACACAAACAAAACAAAACAAATAAACCAAAAAACAAAAAGCAATAGTTCCTTAATAGCATCAATTATCTGATTCATGTTTAAATTTCCAATTGTCACATAAAAGTCATTAGCTGTTGAAGAAATCAAGTCATTTCCCCTGGAGTTTCTCATTATCTGCTCTTTGTATCCTTATGGCTTTCGTTATCATATCCCTCTGTCCTCTGTTTCCTGAAAATTCTAACTGGGCTCTAGTAGCTTGATTAAGTTCAGGCACAAGTTTTTTGGTTTATTTTTCAAAGATTTCTTTGCCAGTAGTGTCGGACTCTTCCATGAAGAGGTGCTTAATGCTGATTGTCTCTCATTTTGTGATGTTAGAAGCCAATGATGATGGATACTTTATTCATTATGAGTTGTCCAACAGTGATATTCTAATTCCATCAAACTGTTCATTCAGTAACTGAAATACTTTCATAAAATGAAACTTTCCCTTATCTACAATTTGGTTACTCAGTGATACAGTTGGTATAGGAAAGGAGGGAAGTTTTCTTGATTATTTCCCTTTTATTTATCAGTTTTAAATTGATTTATTAGCATTCTCCAGTGGTAACCAGTTAGTTGTTTGTTTTTTTAAATATCATTACAAGTTCATGGACTTAAACATATCTGATGACCTTCAATCTATTGCAGTTGCTTTTCTTATTGCTGTTTTGAATTTCCTTCCCTTGGCCAATGGGAGCCTCTTTCAGTTGGTTTGTGAGTCAGTTGTACATGGCCCTAATGTATTTTGATACTTCCTTGCTCTCTTATGCATTTCCTGCTCCAGACCTGGATTCAGCGATTTATACAAGGGATCCTGGTTTCATTTGGTGGAAAGGGGTATTTCTGGGCTACATTTTGGGTGCTAGGAATTACAGGTTAGTTCTTATATATTATGACAATTGTATTGATGGTGACTGTCTTACGAACTATTTTGGGTGCTATTTGTTATCAGAACATACATAAATAGAAGTGAAATGTATCTCTAAAATAAAATGGAATAGAATATCATTTCCGTTAGCAGTTATTTAAAATTAAAAGAAGATGAGAAAAATCAAATCTGTGTCTCATACCATCAATTATCTTCCACCTCGAATGGTAGCAGATTTCTTGATGTCATTGCTGTGTGTCCTGCCCAGTAGCATTCTAACATGTTCCAAAGACAGTGTGTGTATGTGTGCTTGTGCCTTTTATGCCAGTGTTTAGAGTAGGAGAAAAGGGTCTGATAGAAGCGTCACACAAGGATGTATTAGGAGGAGCTAGACATATTTTACCACATTTAAAGGACCCTTTGATGAAAAGTAAGATATATTTTTTCAGAACTAGTCAGTTCATTTTCTATCAGTGTTCACCAGAAGCCTAGGTGAGTTCCTTGATATTTTATACTTCTTTTTTATTTCCTCTCTTACAGATAAAGAATTAATCTACAGAGAACAGAAAGGAAACGTGATACTGCGAAATGTTGAAACAAATATTTCTACCGTGTTAATAGAAGGCAAAAAAATTGTAAGTACTTTCTTTAATGACCAGGATAATTTCAGTTTTTCCTCCTGCAAGTCAATAAAGCAGAAAATGACTTTAGGTTTCACCTTTTAGTATAGCCAAGCAGAAGCAATAAGCTTGTAATACTACAGGCTCAGCTACTAAAGATAATGTGAAATTGAAACCACACTAATTTAATAAGATGAAAGTACAGTTTCTTTCAGTGTACGGGAAGTTTCTCTGCAGGTGTTGGAAACAAGTGTTGCATATAATATATAATTGAAAGATAAAGTCCTAAAGCTTTTACACATTTACAGAACAATTGCAATAATACACATGAAATACTCCAGGAGGACGTGCTCGATCTCGTTTTAAAAAAACTCATGTTCACATGCACAGGGAATATTAACTCAGGCACTGTAACTCTGCTTACCCTAATGAAATTAATCCAGTTCATTCTTTAAAACAAGTATGGATTCAATCTGAGTGTCACTGCTTTGCATTCTGGGAAAACTTGTTTTTCCAAAGAATTTAATGACATTAAAATGTTGGGGTCTTTTACATTTAAAGATACTTATTAATAATATTGACTGAAAAAATCTACCAAAAATCAGTTTAACGAGGATTGACATTTTTCTTTTTATACAGTATGTTCATATTCATTAATAAAAGAATTAAATCTCCAAATTTAAAGAGCTAATCATTTTTTTGTTGGATAAACTGGGGAACTCAGAAGAAGAAACTAAGGCTAAATCTATGTAAAAAGCAAGAATTGAAACAGGCCATGTATTCCTAGTCAGAACTATCATAATATGGCTCTGATATGACCCAGAAAAATAAGAATCCTAGAAGCCTATAATCTGGGGATTAGAGGAGACCTTAGGAAAAAATTAGTCCCCTCCCTGGTTTTCCAGATAAGGATTTTGAGCCCAGAGGGTTAGAGATAGCTTGTCAGAGTCCTGCAGCTCACTAGTGACAGGCGAGGACTCAGGCTGGGGCCAGCACACAGTGCCCTGGGGCCTCCATCCTGGGGAAAAGGAAGGGCGGCTCCATCTTTGTGCCACTCCATCCTCGAACTCATAGAGATGTTGCTCTACTTCTTTTCCTTCCTGACGAAAATTTAACTTTCTATTAAAATATTTTTATTTTGCTTCCTTTTGGAGTAAAATACCTTTCTCTTAAAAAAAAAAAAAATTTGAGTAGGATTTAGTATTAAGTGGGCCCAGCCATTTACCTCGGAAAACTTGGTGGCTAGTGGTTAAGTGCTATGGCTGTTATCCAAAAGATCGGCAGTTTGAATCCACCAGATGCTCCTTGGAAATTCTATAGAGCAGTTCTCCTCTGCCCTATAGGGTCGCTATAAGTCAGAATTGACTCAACAGCAACGGGTTTGGTTTGGTTTTGCCGTTTACTTCAGCTAATGTGCTCAGCTCACGCAAAGGTTGGAGGTTCAAGTCTACCCAGAGAGGCCCTGGAAGAAAGGCCTGGAGATCTACTTCCGAAAACTCAGCCATGGAAAACCCTGTGGAGCACAGTTCTACTGTGAGAGACATGGGATCACCATGGGTCGGAGTTGGCTGGATGGCAACTGGTTTGGCCCTTTATATAGACTGTTTGTGGGTGCAAGGGATCACCAGGGTGCAATCTAACCTGGTAATATTGGACTGTGGTGTAGTTCCCAAAATGATAAATGTACTGAATTAAATCATATTCTGCAAAGTAAGACCCTGAAAGAATGTATGTGCCTGTGGTTTGCATTAAAACATCATCCTTTGGTAGAATTACTCCCCTGAGAAAATCTGATTCGACCCACTTGGAAATACTAAAGTTGCAGAAAGGGTTTTCTAATATTAATTGAGAGGAGAAAATGATCGGATTGTTGCTGGGGGTAACTACATTTTAATGCAGAATGTTATCAACATTTCCTGTGAGGATGTCAGATTAGTAAAAGCAGCTGCATTTAGTAATGAAGTACAAGAATATGAACGGCCTTCTCGCTCTAAAATCAATAACTTGTGACAGATCATATATTTTAACTGAAGTTGTTTTTGCCAAGTAATAAGGCAACTTCAGAAACCACCTAGGTAAAGAAAAAAGGAAGAAATCCTCATTTCACCAACTGGCTCGCTTATTCTATGTAATACGATCTTTTTCTTCTTAAAATGCCATTTATTTATTCATTTTGCAGACATTTACTGAGCACCAACTGTATGCAGCGTGGTCAATACTATTGAATGATCATGTCTAGTTTATTATTGTCTCAAAGCTACATTTCTAGAAAAGTACATCATGGTTGATAAAGTGGTGAGTCAGTGGAAATGAAGGAAACCATCAGTGAGATAGATTGACACAATGGACTCAAATGCAGCAATGATCATAGAGGGGCACAGGACTGGGCAGTGTTTTGTTCTATTATATATAAGGTCACCTTGAGTCAGAGCTGACTCGATGGCAACTAACAACAACAACAACAATAAAAAGACTAAAACAGGAAAAAGAGAAAGTGTCGTTTAGGGGCCTGCCTTGTCATGGATTTAAGTTCTGTTGAGCTGATTAGCTATTTAACCTCCATGAGCTTCAGTTACTCCATCTCTAAATTACTTCTGACATTTCTTCTACCAGCCTATAGCATGGGTATTCTGTGAGCGCCAACAGTAGATTGTGTACTCTGTGAGCTTTCTCGGGCAGGTGTTGGGAAAGTGAAGCATGGTGTTATAAAGGGACCAAGTGTGCAGACACGTCTGCAGCCTGCAGGATGGCAATGGGATGGAGAGCGTAGGGAACCTAGGCAGTAGCTCTTCAGCATTCTGTTCTCCAGCCTTTCTGATGGTTCTCCAGGTGGTCTCCTCTTACTTGATTCCGTAAACCTTGAGGTTGTTTAAAGGATAAAGCCATGCTGAGGAAAAAAGTGGTGCAGTATATTCAGCCAACTGCAGTTTTTAGGATGGTCCATAAAACAGCCTGAAACTAGTTGAGAAATGGAAACGAACCCATGAATTCTGTGGTCAGCAGAATTTAAATATGTGCCTTACCACCATGACCTCTTACTGCATTCTCCTCTTTATGCAGCCACTGAAAACAGACCATTCACATACATGATCATGGTAACAGTAAGGTTAATCGTTGCCATTGAGTCGATGCTGACTCATGGCAATTCCCTTTGTGTCAGAGTAGTAGAACTGTGCTCCATAGGATTTCAATGGCTGGTTTTTTGGAAGTAGATCACCAGGTCTTTCTTCTGATGTGCCTCTGGGTAGACTCCAACTGCCAACCTTTTGGTTAGCAGTCGAGTGTGTTAACTACCCAGGTAGCCAAACTTATTTGCCATTTCCTCTGGGCCCCTTGGCTTACCATGAGTGGCTTTCACCTGGAATCTACTGATGGAAGGAGATGCAAGTGAATGCAAAAAAAAAAAAAAAAAAAAAAAAAAAACCATTGCCTTCAAGTCAATTCCGACCCACAGTGACCCTATAGGAGAGAGTAGAACTGCCCTATAGGGTTTCCAAGGAGTGGCTGGTGGATTTGAACTGCCAACCTTTTGGTTAGCAGCCGAACTCTTAACCAGTGTGCCACTAGGGCTCCAAATGAATGCAGACACTACCTCAATCTAGTGGAAAAACCTTTAAAGTAACCTGTGATTATGCAAATGCAGGACTTGGGCTAAGTGGTGTACATACATGGCTGTGTCTCACTCACCCTGCCTCCCCCAACAAGGTTCTCTGACTGGAAGTTTTAATTCAGTTGTCCTTTATCACACCTCCAAATGGTAGAAATCAGATCATGAAATATTTCAGAATACCACAAACGCTTTAAATTTTGAGTTCCTGTATACATTTAACATTCGATGATAGTTGCATCATAGCTTTTTGTTTTTATTTATGTGACTTTTTGTTTTTCATGTCACTTTTTTGAGAGTGGGATATTTTCAAACCATGTTATCTAATAGTAGATGATATTTGATGGTATTTAATAATTGATTTTTAGGTGCCATTTATCACAATGTCATAGTCTATTTTCCTATTTTTAATATTTTTCAAGTGTTCTTTTAGGTTTCTACAGAGAATGAACTAAATGAAAGAATGGTTGCCCAGATTCACAAAGGCATCATCTCTGAAAGTACTCTCTTTGGCTATAAGGGCTTCTGCTAAGTTGCAAACCTTGAAGGCAGGTTCTGCCTTTGATTTGCTTTATCTCCCCCATGGTTCTTAGCACCTTGACCTGCACACAGTAGGTGTTCAGTAACTGTATATTTTATGAATGAATATAAAAGATGACAAAACAATAGTGACAAACAGTTTTACCAAAACTTCCATGTGGCTGAATGGAGGCAGGCGGTCAGCACCATGGTATGAAGTTGAGCTTTGGGACCTGGCTCCCGCATTTGAATGGCATTCCGCTTTCTAGCGACCTGCACTCAAGCCAGCTGTAAACCAGAAAATTAACTCTGACTCATGGTGACCCCATGTGTGTCAGAGTAGAACCATGCTCCACAGAGTTTCCAAAGGGTGCTTTTTCTAAAGTAGATCACCAGGCTTTTCTTCTGAGGTGCCTCTACATGGACTCAAACCTCCAGCCTTTCAGTTAGTAGCCAAGTGTGTTAAGCATTCACAAATATTAACACTGTAAACCTCAGTCCTTCTCTAGGAGTGCCATAAGCGTTAAATGAGAGAATGTAAGTAAGGGTTAAATGCTGGAATGTGGATGTTCACCACCCATGGACCTCAGAGCATTAGGTGAGACTGAGGCATAGGAGTGCCCAGGATCAAAGCAGACAGGGTAGTCCTGGTGGTCCTGGTTCTCACAGGAAGAAACTGTGGGCAGGGTTTGGAGGAGCTCGATGAAAATGCTCTCCTGGGATGTGGAGAAGCCCTTGGGTCTAGGCAACAGTGCAGGACTGTGGATGCTGCATGGCCTTGACTTGGAGCTCTTTGCCTGGCAGGAGTTGAGTCTCAGCTCCTGCCAACAGTGAGGCAAGTCTTCAGGAGCTGGTTGTTAAAGCAAGGGGCTCGCTCGGGTTTAACACT